TGTTATATAAATATATACACGTTGACTTTTGTTGGCCGGGCCGGTCCTATAGCCGGTTACATAACCGGTTCCGGTCTTAACCGGTCTCGGTCCTAAAAAACGTTAAAATCCATAACCGGTTCATAACCGGCGGTCCACAACCGGTCCATACCGGTCCCGGGCCGGTTCCGGTCCCGATTCCGGTCCTTTGGCGGTTACGGGCCGGGCCGGGCCCATTTAGAACTAACAATGATATCAGTGATTTGAATGTTAACTTTAAAATTTTTATATAACTATTTTAATTGATTCGCCTTTTTCATGTTCTTTTAGAAATATTTATATATATATATATATGATGGAATGGTTTTAAGGAATTTGGAATTGGAATAATTTGGAATCTTTTGTGTGTTTGATTTGATGGATTTGGAATGGAATGGAATGGCATTCGATTTTTATAAGTAATTTATAAAAATAATTATTATGTTTTTGTTAATGAATTATTAGAAAACAAATGTTTTAGAACATTCGTATATATGAATCTATAATTGTTCTTAATTTCAATTTAGTAGCAAGTAATACATCAAAATAGACCACCATATTAATTGATTTGTGTTATAGGATTGTTTAATCTAGCTTAAATGGTTTGGCTTCTGATCATTGGTTATAATTGGTGTTTGTCTAAATTTTAATGTGATTGGTACGTTAAGCTCTACGTTTGTGACTAGACTTGTCTTAATCAATTAGGAACTAGTTCACCGAGCTCCTTGTGCTAGTTCAATCATAAGGACAAGAGTGTTTGGCACGTGTCAACACTTACAGCCCGTCTGAAATCAATTGAGAAAATTTTGTTTCTGTACAAATCAATGATACATAGTTTCATAAAGAATTAGTTATATTCATCATAGGATTTATCTGGTTACTGTTTATAATCTTAATTTATTTTTTGCATGCTTAGCTATTATCAATCATCCACCCCCCTTTATTTAATGTTTTAAAAATCATATGCACATGATTATGTCTTGGACTCACCGTTGACACCGAGTCCCTAAGGAGAATTCTCTTGGTGCCTATGTGGCTCTGCCCCTGGTCGGATCAAGTACCTACTTCTTCGGGATGGTATTACCTGTCCCTAATAATATATGATATATATATATATATATATAGATATATATATATATATATATTTTTTAACATATAATTAATTTGTTCTCTTTTCCAACGGATTCCCCATATCCTCTAAGGAAACAACAATGATGAAAATCAATCTCATTATATAATTAGTTTCGTCGAAGAATTAAGCTCTAACATTATTATTATTATTATTTTATTGGATAAGGGTAAATTGGTAATTTCGCTACCTCTTTCCAAATGACAATTTATAAAATAATATTTTAACACTAATTTATTTACTCTATAATATTTTAAATTTCATTGGAAATTTCAGTTAAACAAACATTGTAAAAATAATGAGGATTACATTATTTTCATTTGATATCCACGTCATCATTATTTTTTTCTCCATTTTTCTTAAATCAACTTTTCAAACTTGCGCTCATATGATAAAAGATTGTTGCGAGTACAAAATTCATGATAAACTCGTACAATGTCAAAATGATTATATCTTTCATGTTTTGAGTTTTTATAGATACAAAACTTTTCTACGTCGAATCTGGAAGTGGGTTTGTCTCTCGAACAACTTTGTGACACTTGAGTATAAAAATCTAAAAGTCCATACGATGCTGGAACACGATAAGATTCAAGACACTATTGAAAAATAACACAGAGATCTACATCTTCGATGTTTTCAGTTTTCCAAGATATATTATCTTTTTTCAGTCAAATTTGAAGGTGGGTTCGTCTTTTAGGTAGCTTTAAAAAATATATCAGTCAAAATCAATAAACTCTTTGCGGTATCGAAAAGCAAACAGAGCTATCCACATTTTCAATGCATTGCTTTTCAAGAAATAAAACTTTTCTAAGTTAAAATCCAAATAGAAATTACAGTGAATTCTCCTCTTCGAACAACTTTAACAATTCAGTATGAATTTATAAACTTTTACGAAGAGGAATTCTTTTTCTTTTAAATTTTAAAAAGAAAGTATTAAAAAACGCTTGTGTGACCTTTTTCATAGGACAAGTGGATGTAACATTTAATTTGATGATGTCAAAGACCTTCCAGCCTAGTGGTAAAGGCTTGGGCATGGCATAGTCATGAACCCAAGTTCGAGCCCTGGGAGGGGAGTGTTGGCGACATTTAAGTGGAGCCATGTTTAGCCTCCAAATTTGCCGGGGATTAGTCGGGCTTTGGCCCGGACACCCTTACAAAAAAAACATTTAATTTGATGATTGGTTTGGATTCTTTTAAAATTCAAGTGTAATTATGATATTCTTCATACTATGGCATGGCCCATGAAATTAATTTGTTAGAATTGTTTTAATATCCAGAGTTTTTGTAAAACCCAAAAATTTGTGGAATAAATGATTTATCTTTATTAGTATTTTATTTTAAGAACATATATATATATATATTATATATATATATATATTAAATAAAAATAGAAGGTTGAAATAAGTTTAAAAGTCGGACCAAAAGTGAAGGAAGAAATCAAGACATGGATGAAAGTTGTCAATTAGCGGAAGTTAAGGGACTGGGTCGTGTGTAAGCAGGTCCAAACCAGAAGGACCTGTTTTGTAAATAGGCAACAGACCTGCAACAGGGTGGCCTGTTGTCAACAATCGAGAGAGGCAGAAGAGGAACAGGCGGTGCCTGGTTCAAAAAGGGAAACTGTGACCTGCCGGTTGCAGGCTGTGGAGAAGCCGTTCACAGCCTAAAACTAGGGATTCTGCCGATTTGGTCAACTAATAGGCCAAATCGTTTGAGTATAAATTATGGGCACTGGTTAGGGTCGCTATTCATTTGAAAAGAAGAAGGAAATTGTTGAGCTTGAGAGAGAGAAACCGGAGTTCAAGACCAGGCAAGAACCCCCTGCTTTCCCGTCGTTTAGAGGTAAATACTCAACCAAAATTTATGTTGTTACAATGTTTAGCTGTGCCTTTGGCCC